GATTTGCTCAAAAATGTTATAAATCTCCATGGGGTAGATTTTTTTTTAAAATCCCATTTCTAAGTGTCTAACCATAAACATAACTCACTTTTAAAAATAGGGGTTAGGTTCTTAAGTTGCTTAGGCAGATTTTGAAAACTTTATCCATGATCTTTTAACCTAAGAGACACCTCTTGAAATTTTTACTCAGTTTTTACTCAGTCATTATTCAGGAGTATTATGTGCAATTATGTGCAAATAAATCCATGAAAAATTATGGGAATTTGCCTGAGTCAGGACTGAGTGAAGCTAAATAAGTACCTGAAGATGTAATCTGAAATCAATAATGCTAAAATAAAAAATAGGCTGTTTTATTAATGAAGGGTACTAATAACACATCTAAAGTAGAAAGTGAGGTTGCTCTCTAAACATGTGACTACAGAAAATAGTAAAACAATATTTGGGTAAGTTATGTAAACACTGTTGATAACTATGAACATAGTGATTTCTGAGTTTCCATTTACTGTGGGTTGTTAAAGCTGGAGGTGTTTTGTTGTACCTTTTTGTGCTGTTCAAAAGGTTACTGGTTCTGGAAGTTTCTATTGAAGACTGGACTTGCTGAATTGCAACAGAGTTTTGAAAAGCAGCTTCCTAAACTGTATGGCTCATGAATTTCTTTATGGTAGCGTCAACATTGATGGCAAACAGTTTTAGGCTTTGTTCGGATTTTGTGCCCACTGAGCAATATGATGTGTCTTTCAAATTTTTTCCTGTCAATGTTTGTAAAGCAAGTTGTTCTCAAACTATAGTTTGTGTAGACTTCTGATATTTTCAGTAAGTCTCCTGTTCACAATATTGAATCTTGATTTGTGGCATGGTTCTTAGATGTGTTCTGGAATGAAAAATATGTGCCTACTACCTTATGTCACCAGTTTTTGTTACTCTAAAAGACTATGGAGCAACTTTTCTAACTATTTGTATCTAAGAAGTTGAAATTAATCTTCTCTGTATTCTGAGGGTTTCTAGTACACATCTAGGAAACCTGTGTTAAATTATTTTGGTGTGTCAGGTATCTACAACAGTCTACGAGAAACTAGATGAAATCCTGTCCTTACTAAAGTCAATGAGAGCTGTGTCAGCCTGGATGTTTTAGTTGTGAACATAATATTGGATTTTCTGAATTTCTTATTGTGAACTAGATCAAAGTTTGATAGCTGTGAAGAAAGGATTAAACTCTACAATTCCTCATGAGGAGATAGCAAGAAGCTCTGATGGCTTCAAGAGGACGCTATTGAAAAAACCCCTCTTTCCTGTCCACTCGTGCCTTTTTTCGAAAGAGCTCTTTTGGAAAAAGGCTTCTTCCTCATAGAAAGAGGTTTACCACTGCCAGAAAAACCCCTACATTCTTTTGACTTTCTGTTGAAAGAATACAATTGCAGTGTAGATGTAAGTGTAGTTTTTCCAGAAAAATTGATATTTTTCTGGAAAACTCTTCAGTGTACATATATCCTGACAGTATCATAAAAGCTCTGTGTTTAGATGCTTTTATACAATGTTTAATGTAAAAGAGGCCCAGTGCCTCTGGTCATATTGAGGAAATAATCTATTTTACAAGATACATGTGATACTATTAAGTTACTGCCATCGTCAACTGAAAGATTTCATTATGTAAAAAAAATCCTAAATTTTCATATCAACTGCTGTTGCTTACTCTTGTTATAAAGGTCCAATTTATATTTCACTCCATGTTATTATGGAAAGGAAAAGCAGCCATGTGGTACAAAGAAACAGGTGAATTTTCTCAGCATAGTTTGCTCCTGTTAATAATTTGCATGTCCTACAATTTTCTACCTCATTCCTTCATGCCATAAGGACCATTATATACTTCTGATAATGAAGTAAGAAGCATGCTTTGGATTTCCACTTCCAGAGTGATGATTAAGTCTTGAGAAGGAATCTATCTTGAATGGGAATCTTACAATAAATAGTCATCTCCATGCTGAAATATAGTGGTATAATGTGTACATAGGAATAGTGGTGTCATGCTGTCTGAAGTGGTTTATAACTGAGGCTATGTCTACACTATGAGTTTTTTCGGCAGAAAATATGCTAATGGGGGACTCATCTGCGTGAGTCACAATCTCATTTGCATATTTTCTGCTGATCCGTTTTTGCGCTAGGGGTTTTTACGCAAAAACAAGCAGTGTGGACATTTCCTTTTTGCACAAAAAAACCTTTTTGCGAAAGAGCCATTATTCCTTTGATCAATATCTGTAGTTTCTGCTCTCAGAACACAATCTGAACAATGCCTTCACCTGCATGGGCCAGTGAATTTCTACTGCTGAATACAACGACCCTTGTTTTGACAGGTAATTCAATTATAAGGATATACAGTGCAAAAAAAAAAAAGGAGTTTTGTGCAAAAAGGAAACATCCACACCGCTTGTTTTTTGCACAAAAACCCCTAGTGCAAAAACAGATCGGCAGAAAATACGTAAATGAAATGGTGACTCACACAAGTGAGTCCCTCATTAGCATATTTTCTGCCAAAAAAACTCATAGTGTAGACGTAGCATGAGTGCCTATCTCAGGGCAGACTGTCAGGAAAATAAGGACCAACACTTCACAGTGATGGTATATTCTATTATTAGATTTTACCAAGCCAGTAACAAATATGAACTTCTGGATGACTAAACCAGTTTTACCAGAGTCTCAAACAGACCCTGTAAGCCCTCCAAACCTATCCTGCCACCCAAACTGAACTTTGGGATAAAAAGCTATATAAACCAAAAATCACACTACAGCAAATTAGTCCTAATCCCAAAAGATCAGTCACTCCAGAGCAATTTGGTATTCTGGATCTCACACCAAAAACAACACTGGAGGTCAATTCTCTAATAAACTAACTAAAGATTACCTAAGAAAATAAATGAAGAGTTGTTGAGAAGTGAAAGCAGGTAAAGGATATTAATAGATTAGTTTGTAAGTCCAAAATGATAGCAGAGCTGTAGTAGTCCCTCAAATTCCCAACAGATTTTTCAGGGAACCCAGATATTTCTGAGGAACTCCACTTTACTTTTGGCATCTTCCATGTAAGCGTCCAGTCAGAGGTAAGGAATATTCCTTTGAATCAATATTTGTAGTTTCCGCTCTCAGAAGACAATCTGAACAACGCCTTCACCCACATGGGCCAGTGAATTTCTACTGCTGAATACGGCTCCAAATTATGTTTGACAGGTAATTCAACTATAAGAATATACATAATGTAAAAAGTAATGTAATAGTAAACAATTTTTTCATTCGCTTTGGGGGTAGCCGAGTTAGTCTGTACAGGATAAACTTTAAAAAACAACATATAGTCTGGTAGCACTTTAAAGATTAACAAGACATGTAGATGGTATCATGAGCTTTCGCGGGCACAGCCCCCTCCCCCCCAGCAAAACTTGTTGAGCAAAACAAAAAAGGAAAAAAGGAACTGAACAGGGCTGCAAAACGTGACAGGGGAGGCTGGGTTGCCTCGTGCCTCCCCTGGAATTTCTTCACCCCCCCCCCAGGAGGGCACACCCCCCAGTTTTGGGATATAGAGAATTGTGTCTATTTCAACCTCTCCCTTCCAATTTCCCACTGTTACTATCACCAATGAAGTGTCAACAGCAAAGGTGGCCATTCACTGTCCTTTTAACCATCACATTGTTTAACCCAGTCTTCTCTATATACTAATGCTCTCAATGGTGGAGATTCACAGGTGATAGTGCAACATAGGGAACCGGTGAAAAACAACTGAGTTGTCCTTGGATAATACAGTGAAAATTCTGTGTTGAAATAAAAAATCTGAAGTCTTTTTACTTAGTCTAAATTGAAGCCTTGTACATACTGGAAACTAATCTATGTATGTCATATCTTCCCATTACAGATGAGGGAGGGCAGAACTAGTTTAATCTGGAACAGTATGAGAAGCAGCCATGAAACTAAAATAGGAAATTATGTATAAAGGTGGAGCTGACACACAGAGATATATTAAGGTGTTTTCTCTGCTTGTTAGCTAGGAATTGTGCTACACATTCCTCTATCAGTAACATGACTCAAAGATGTCAGAATTGATCTACTTAAAAGATATTACCCTACCACTTGTTTCTTCTAAAGGTATTTCCCAAATTCATGGGAGAGATGGCTACTGTTCAGTGTTGCACGAAGCCATCTCTCTGTACAGTATATTAGCTCATTAGCAGTTTTGTGGGGTTCCTTGTGGAGTCAAGGAGCTGTAGAAATGCAGGCTAGTCTTCTCATACCTGCAGATTTGTGATGATTCACCACACACTTTATCTGCACAAGTTTATTCAAAACTCAGGACTCCGGCTCCCAGTGGGCTGCGCAGGGACCGTAATCACCTCTTTGTTGTTTAAAAGGCATCAAAGTACAATGACCTTTCTGTCACCCAGCCCCCGGCCATCTCCCTCCCGGCCCTTCACTGACCCTTGCTTGAACTGCCTCCGAGTCAGCTCCAAATCACCCTCGGCCTCCACCACAGGTACGTTAGACAGGCTGGGGCCGGGGAGACCTGTGGACGGGCACTAAAAGGCCGCCACTAAGGCGTGTGGATGAAGCGGAATCCCCCACTATGGGCGGGCTAGGCCAGTACGGAGGCTGCAGAGCACTTTCCCCTGGAGCGGCTGGTGCCCGGGCGGCCAGTCGGGGGGAGGCACAAGACACTGCAGGGACCAGCTCTCCTCTGCCCTGGGAGGCAGTTCCTGGGCTCCGCGCTTCCGATCCTCCGAGGCCCGCCGCCCCTCCCTTGCGTGGCGCTACGCAACTCGGCCACCTCTCGCTCATTCACTAACCGGTTCTCCCCGGCTACCTCCGCCTTTCAATACCCTCTTCTCTCCCTCGCCCCCCGTGCGGCCCCGCCCCATGGCGGCGCCGGGCCCGCCTCCGACGGTCTAGCAACAGCTCTGATTGGTGATGCGTGACGCCCGTCACGGGGCGGTGTGTGTGTCGTACGACGCACGCCTGTGCGGGAGGAAGGCGGCGCTGGCGGGCCCCTCCCCTTCTGTGCCGCTTGCTCCGCGTTGGCACCGCACTCTCCAAAGCTGCTCGCTTGCTACTCCCGCCGCCGCAGCTGTATGGTCCAGCGCCGCTCCGCCGCCGCACCCCCTCCGCCAGCTCCGCGGCCTCCAGCGCCTCCAGCTCCTCCTGGTTCTGCTCCTCCTGCCCCCGGCGGTGGCGCCCTCACCCCGGCTGTATGATCAGGCTACAGTCTTCAATGAGTAACCATATTCCTGTGAGTACCGGCCCCGCCGCCCTGGCCGCCTTCTCCCGTGCACCGCGTGGCCGCCGCGTGTGTCCGGCTCTTCTCTCCGGGCTGCCGGCGCTTCGCCCCCTCGCGGCTCCTCCATGTTGGCTCTTTGTTCTGCCGGCTCCGAGCGGCTCCTTGAGTCCTTTCGCGCCGTGCGGCGGCTCCTCCCTGGCGGGAAGCAGCGGGCGGGGTTGGCGTGGCAGCAGAGCGAGGGGTGGTGGAGTCCTGGGTCTGCCGCGGCTCCCTTGCGGGCTAGGAGGCGGCTGGACACAAAGCCGCTTTGTGAGCTGGGCTGCAGCTCGCCCCGCCCGCCTCCCCTCGGTGTCTGTCCAGCCGCTGCTCTCCCTCCGTGTCCTTAACGACCGAGCCCAACGCCCCGCAGCCCTGCGAGGCGGCCGATCCCGCGGGGCGGCTCTGGGTGACAAAATGGCTTCGTGTCAGGAGCCTGAGGCGTGACTCAGGTCCGGGGATCGGCCCGTTCCCTGGACACCCGGCCAGCGGCCTCGTGCGGAGCCTTCCAGCTTGCGCACTTGAGCCGCCGCGGTGCCCTTCCCTCCGTGGCCAGGCGCGCCGGGTGTAGGTGCGGGCTAACGTGGCGGGAGCGGGGGCCGGTGCCAGGGCGGGGTGAATGGCCTGGGTTTCACGCTGACCCGGGCTGAGAAGTAGTCGAGACAAGCCGAGGCTTGTCCGAGGACGGTGCGTGGGTGTCCGCCAGGCGGGCGGTGTCGCAGGGAGCTGAGGGTTGGAAAGTGACTCACTACACGCGGGAGTGGGTGCCGCGTTGGAAAGTCACGATTGAGCGGTGGCGCGGGGTCAATCGTGGTTGTGTGCAGCTTACTGTCAAGTCCAGCTGCCGAGTAACTTCCTTTGTTAGGGACATACCTCCGTCAGGCTGGGACACCAGAGCTAGTGGCACCTCGTGCAGCAGCACTCCTTTGTGCAAGAAATATGAGGCCTGTTTCTCTATTGTAGTGTTTAGCTAAGCTACTTCCGCCAGGGTTCTTGGAAACCCTTTGTATTCTTTTGCTTTTAGAGCCTTGTTCTAAAAGCTGCCTTCAGAAAAATACCTGTATTGCCAACTTCCAGTTGTTTCTTGGCAGACTCAAAATATCCGATTTGTTGAATGTGTACCTGGTACAACTATATCAGACCGTCTCAGTCAATGTATCTGGTGCCTCTTAGGAGGGTTGTGTTGTGAGTAAATCACCAGATTGATACGCTATGGGGAGCCTTGTCTGTCTTTACTGTGAGGCAAGCCTTTCTGCTTTCAGTTCTGTATCAGTACAATAGAGTTAATACTGACTACTTCACGAGTATAAATTAATGAAGTAAGACTTTTGATGACACTAAGTATAATCCCCTAGTTAAGAGGGAAAGCATGTAAAAGGGAAAGGGAGGGCTTAGAGGAAGGCAAAAATGTTCTGGGTCTCATCAAATCTAACAATATTTGAACGTCAAAGCGAAATTTTGTGTGCACTGCTCATATTTTAATTGATATCGTGAAGCAGTTTTATTTTTTACGAACGAAAGTAGTCAAGTATATAACCTGTGACATTAGCATTTTAAATTTGTTTATTTAAAAAGTGTTTTCTAACTCTCAGGGCCCCAGAGGTAGGCTTTCAGTGTTAGTCTACTTGATGCTGCAGACTGTCTGAAACAATGACTCAGCAGTCTGAATTCCACCTACTAATCTCATAGGGCTGTCAGCTAAGAAGCCCAACATCAAATAATCCATCACTGATTCCTTTAGCAGATGGAATGGCCAAAGGATCCAGAGAGAAGAAAATAGAGCATGTAAAAGTTGGAGAAACCAAAGACAGAAATAGCAGCAGTCCAGAGAAGAGCATATTTTCTCAGTGAGAGATACTGAATGTGTCAATAAAACACTAAATAAGTTTAGTTGTTAAACAAAAGCTCTTTTCTCCTTAGCTTCTGTGCTGTCATGTTTTGATGTCAATAGATCTGTCAAGTAGAGATGTAAAATCCCAGTTAATCAGGGAGGAAAGGGGTGGCTGGTTTCTGCTCCAGGTTCCTCTTGTGTGCGGGAAGGAGGGACAGCTCCCCCACCCCCATGGAGCTGGATCAGCCCTCCATCAATGGGGGGCTGGCTGCTCCCAGGTATCAGTTAACTAATACCCCATAAGCATCACCCAGTAAGGGTGGTGCTTACTGAGTAACCAGTTACCCGTTCACATCCCTACTGCTCATATTCTGACTCAAGAAACAACTAACTGTAATCTTTCTCTTCCAAATGAGACTCAGCTACAGGTTCTTCACAAAATAGTGCACTGCTTTGAATATTGGAAATGTTTTGGGGGGTTTTCTGGTTCTTATTGAATTCTAATTTAGAGCAACAGATTATCCTGTTAAATCAGCAATACACATTTTAGTTGATTTAATTACACATCTGCATCCTATTTGTGTAGTGTAGATCTCTTATTTTAACAGTAATGAGAACAGAATTTTTGCCTACCAAATACTGTTTGTCTTGGGAACATAAGAATGGCCATACTGGGTCAGACCAATGATTCATCTAGCCCAGTATCCTGTCTTCTGACTGTGGCCAATGCCAGATGCCCCAGAGAGGGAATCATTAAATGAATCCCTCTGTCATCCATTTCCAGCCTCTGACAAGCATGGACTAGGGATACCATTCCTGCCCATACTGGCTAATAGTCATTGATAGACCTAATCTCCATGAATTTATCTAGTTCTTTTTATTCTGTCTAGAAACAGAATATTGCTATTACAAAGATTTATAGTTCATTAATTTTCATTTTAAAGGGTGGAAAATGCTTAATTAAGCTAACAGGATGCTAGTGGCTTGCTGTTTAACTACCAGCAATATGCTTAGCTGATATTCTACTGAGCCCAAAAAGAGTCCTTGTCTTGAATAATTATTCAGTTGGAAAAGCAGACAGGAAGCACTGGATAACTAAAGAGGAGTAGTAGTTGAGAACTGAGGCTTGACATCACAGGTGACAGTCTAAATTAACTGAAGATATGAATTTTAGATGATTAGTTAAATCATATTAAACATCAGTGTGGATACTTACTCAGTACTAGCATGGCTTTAATTTGCTTTGGAAATGAATTAAGGGAAATGGAAGGAAGGCTGCTATAATTCTGAGTAAGAGAATCCACAGAAATGGGGTTTATTTAATTCACTTAAAATTCACAGCTTCAGTTAATTTAGAATATCCTGAGTGTGGGCATAGAGGAATAACTTATTTTAACATGTATATGTGAAATCTGTCCTTAAAAACCTCTTAAGGATGGAGATTCTACCACATCCCTAGACAATCCATTCCACCCTCCTAGGGAAACTTGTTTTTCCTAATATCCAACGTAAGCCTTCTCCGCCACAACTTGAGATCATTGTTTCTTTTTCTGCCATCTATTTATCACAGAGAATACATTGGCTCCATAGTTCCTGCTAAGGTGCTGTACACAAAAAATTCTGCCCCTGCCCACCTCCTCTGGAGAGCTGCGAAGCAACACTTGTACAACAGGCAGCTGCTCGAAACTTGTTTTTCCTAATATCCAACGTAAGCCTTCTCCGCCACAACTTGAGATCATTGTTTCTTTTTCTGCCATCTATTTATCACAGAGAATACATTGGCTCCATAGTTCCTGCTAAGGTGCTGTACACAAAAAATTCTGCCCCTGCCCACCTCCTCTGGAGAGCTGCGAAGCAACACTTGTACAACAGGCAGCTGCTCTGACAGGCGGGGCCGGCAGGGGCCTGTTCTGGGAGCTGGGGCTGGGAATGGGATCTGCCATGTGGCACAGGAGTGGGGTGGCTGCTCCAGCAGCTAGGAATGTGTGTTGATAAATTGGGTGCCACGGTGGCACACCTCCAAACCAGCTCACATGACCTCAGTATTAGTGCACAAGCCAAAACTCATTCTGTTCATGGTTGGAAAATGTTAGAGGGAATTCACTGTCAGGCTCCATCCTCTTTGGAATCCTTCCCCCACTTTCAGGTAGTTAAAGGCTGCTATTAGATCCCCCCTCATTTTTCTTGTCCGAAGACTCAATAAGCCCTGTCCTCATGAGTCTTGTGCTCTAGCCCCCTAATAGTTTTTGTTGCCTTCCTCTGGATTCCCTCCAATTTGTCCATGTTTTTTCTGTAGCGGCGAGCCCAAGGCTAGACGCAGTACTCAAGATGTGTCCTCTCCAGTGCTGAATAGAAGGGAATAATCACTTCCCTTCAGTCTGCTGGCAATTCTCCTACTAATGTAGCCTGATACACTTTCAGCCTTCTTGTTGACTCATATCCAGCTTCTTGTGTACTATAATCCCAGGCCCTGTTCTGCACAAATGCTGCCTAGACAGTCGGTCCCTAGTCTATGGATATGTATACACTTGCACCCTAGTTTGAACTATTAATGCAAATGTAGGCATTCGAAATATTTAAATCCCCGCTTTATTTACTATCCTGCGTTTCATTAGCATAATGTTGGCTGTGCACTGTTTCGGAACCCAGCTGATTTGAAAGTGAAAGTGCACTCTGGGCTGTGTTAGTTTGAATCAAACCCCTTGGTTCAAACTAACGCAGCCCGGAGCGCACTTTAACTTTTGAATCAGCTGGGTTCCGAAATGGCACGCGGTCGAGATCCTGCACTTCATTAGCATAGTATTTAAATCCCCTCTTCATTTACTATTTTGAATGCCTACATTTGCATCTGTAGTTTGAACTCGGGTGCAAGTGCAGACATACCCTGTAGCAAGACATGGAATTCTCCTGTCCTAAGTGTAGGACTCTGCACTTGTTCTTGTTGAAGCTCATCGCATTTCTTTTGGCCCAATCATCCAATTTTTCTAGGTCACTATAGACCCTATTTCTACCCTCCTATCTCTCCTCTTGCTTCTGCCACCCAGATCAGTGTCATAAGCCCTGGAATTACAAACCATCTAGTCACCCTGCGTGCCATTACAGATTATTAAAAAATTCAGCAGGCCTGGTCTTAGAAATCACATTT